TATATTTTACAGGAAATGGAACAGAAGGTTGAGGAGGAGCGTAGAGGCCGCGAAGAAGCCCGTGATTCTCTTCTTGCAATGGAACGTCGCTGCAACAACTTCAAAGTTGAGTCTGAGGAGCTTCAAGCCAGTCTTGAAAACGCTGATAGAGGCCGCAAGAATGCAGAAGCTGAGCTCACAGAGGCTCTTGACAGAGTTAATGAGCTCACTGCTACGAGTTCATCACTCCAGGGCCAGAAGAGGAAGCTGGACAGTGACATTTCTGCCATGCAGGTACGCTGGAGAAACAACGTAAAATAATTCTGTAAAAATTAAGGGCGCCATATTTCAAAGATTTCGTCTGTATGAGTTTGCTACTCGAGTTTTTTTGCCCTTGTCTTTACGGTTTGATTAAATATTAAGTATCATAATACCCCTTACACCCTTTCCTGTCTGTATGAAGGTCTTCCAACGGTAGCACGGGATAAAGTTGTTATTGTACTAAATAACAAACATTATAGAAACAGGTTTCCGACTCTTCATATTGTCACAGCTGATGCGAATAACTTGTAATTCACACAACAATAACACCAACGCTTTTTTGAACAGGCCGACCTTGAGGAGATGAGTGGCCAAGTGAGGTCATCAGAGGAGAATGTGAGACGCGCTCAGGCTGATGTACAGCGCATGACTGACGAACTGCGTGCCGAGCAGGAACACAGCAAGCAGATGGACAAAGTGAAGAGAGGATTTGAGTCCCAAGTCAAGGAACTTCAGATCAGAGCGGAAGAGGCAGAGGCAGCTGGACTCAAGGGAGGCAAGAGGGCCGTTGCTAAACTTGAACAGAGAGTAAGTATACGAATTAAGATACATTACTGCAACAGAAATGTACAAAACATATCATCGCGTGAAATATGAAAATTTGACGCAACAAACGTCAAATACCATTAGACATAAAACACTTCAAAACAAGTCTTGAAACAATTTGCTATCTAATTGTGCTCTCTGAACAAATGAAACCGCTTGTCCAGAACTACATGTGTCAGACACTAAAAGTCCCCTAAACTATTTGTTGCCATGTTCGTAGTTCCACTATGTTTGACACAGTAATAACCTTGTAAATAAAAGCGACAAGACCCTTTCCATATTCATAAGATATCTTTCTCTAACGCGTCCTGTGCTGATTATTTCAGGTCCGTGAACTCGAAGGAGAATTGGATTCCGAGCAGCGCCGTCATTCTGAAACTCAGAAGACATCACGTACTGTTGAGCGTCGTCTGAAGGAGGTGTCCCTCCAGGCCGAGGAGGAGCAGAAGGGTCAAGAGAGACTCCAGAGCACCATCGACGCTCTCAACGCCAAAGTCAGAACATACAGAACCCAGATTGACGAGGCTGTAAGTGCCTTACTAAATTTTAAAAACCTGAAAACTTGCTTCTCTTTTCCTTGTAAAGAATACTTGAAGAACTACAAGAACAACGTGTTCTTGGTCCCCTGTTGCAATTTGGCTTGACTATTTTAGAGTGGTTTAGACCATACTCACACAAAATACCTTACCATTAGAGGACATATCATACTGTTATTTTCTCATATATACAATATATGTCAGTTATAGGTTTCCCTTTGTGATTTGAAGTGATGAAGTCCATACACATAGTTCTAATCATTTTGCCTTTATTTACAGGAGGAGCTTGCTGCCATGAACCTGGCCAAGTACCGTAAGGTCGTCACCGAGTTCGAGGACGCCGAGGAAAGAGCTGAATCTGCTGAGAACGCTCTATCCAAACTCAGAGTAAAGAACCGCAGTTCAGTCTCCATGGCTCGTTAAGACCACACCGGGCTTGTCATCCTTACCTCGGCATTAACTGTTATGGGTTACTTTTGGTGGGGACTTCCTAACAAGGAGCCTGCAACTATGTGTATCTCAATTTACTGTATATCGGAAATACAAGAACAGTATGGACTTCGATGAAACGGTTAATCTGTTATGACTCGGAGAACACACTGTTTAGTCAGCTCGATCAAGACTTTAATGTTCAGATTCAATGACATGCTATTCTGTGTTGTGTCTGGATGCCTGAAATCTTGAAGCATAGTTCTGTACTTGAAATAAAATGTATGCAATGATTTTTTTCTCTGTCATTTTAAGCTTAATTAAAAACTCATAACATAGTTAAGGTCATAAAGCAGTTGTTAGATGAGCGCATATTAAGAAGTCACCTTTGCACATATTTATGTGACGGCAGCACCGAAGATTCATCCCGACTGTAACCTTTGGGGATAGTTAAGTATCCAACTTCAAAAATCATATTTTTTTACAAACGGACGTTTAGCTGGCGAAATGTGTTTCCAAAACTGCTGAGGATAAATGCATTCGAACTGTTAACGTTAGTATATTGTTTATTGCTTTGTGGTACGTTCGCAAAAGAAGTGAAACGTTAAACTTGTTCAACTTTTTCAGCAGAAATTAAATAAATGAGGATGGTTTTGTAACATTGTACTGCTAATTGGTTTATTCAAGCAAGATGTTTGTGAGCGGTGGGCTAGCTTAATGTTGTAAGACTTCGCAAGTCGAGCTTAGTCTTAGGATCGATCATGCGATCAATATGTGAAATCAATTCTGGGTATCATCCACCCTGATTCATCGATACCACTGGAGTTTTGCTAAGGCGTGGTTTAATCATGAACACTCACGTGTTCATAATGTTTACGGTACCAGCAGATTTAAGTAAATTTAATCAATGTCATCACATATAAAAATACCAAATAGTCAGAGGCGGCGAGTAGACCAAGTAGTGTGTTCGCTCGTCAAGGAGAACATGAAGAAAGGTTCGTTATCCCATAGTGAGTGAGTAAACAGTAGTTAATTTATAGAGAAAAAACAAAACAAAATGTCGCTGGTAGCAGTTTTTACACCTTACACCCAGGAAGACATGTTTGGTGCTGACCACATTGGGCTCGTTAACAGAGCTAATCATGGATTTCAACCCGTGATTAGTGGATCATAAGAGGTAACTCAGCACCCAAAAAAAAGCTGCAGACGACTTGGCCTCAAGTTATCCACATCCACATAAAATCTTGGCACGTAATCAATAGTATAGATCGGAGACTTTTAAAGGCATATCAGCAAACATTCGCCACCAATCTGACCCGTTGGAGACTTAAGATTGGTTATGTTAGATCCATTTCCTTACGTTAATTGCATAACAACACATGTGCCAGTGTGCTTGAGGACACATGTACCAATGTGCATGACGACAGATGTATCAGTGTGCATGACGACACATGTACCAGTGTCCACAACGACACATGTACCAGTGTCAACAACGACACATGTACCAGTGTCCACAACGACACATGTACCAGTGACCACAACGACATATGTATCAGTGTCCACAACGACAAATGTACCAGTGTCCACAACGACACATATATCAATGTGCATGGCGACGCCTGTACCAGTGTGCAGGACGACACATGAACTAGTGTCCACAACGACAAATGTACCAGTGTCCACAACGACACATATATCAATGTGCATGGCGACACATGTACCAGTGTGCATGACGACACATGTACCAATGTGCATAACAACACATGTGCCAGTGTGCATGAGGACACATGTACCAATGTGCATGACGACAGATGTATCAGTGTGCATGACGACACATGTACCAGTGTCCACAACGACACATGTACCAGTGTCAACAACGACACATGTACCAGTGTCCACAACGACACATGTACCAGTGTCCACAACGACATATGTATCAGTGTCCACAACGACAAATGTACCAGTGTCCACAACGACACATATATCAATGTGCATGGCGACGCCTGTACCAGTGTGCAGGACGACACATGAACCAGTGTCCACAACGACAAATGTACCAGTGTCCACAACGACACATATATCGATGTGCATGGCGACACATGTACCAGTGTGCATGACGACACATGTACCAGTGTCCACAACGACACATGTATCAGTGTCCACAACGACACATGTTCCAGTGTCCACAACGACAAATGTACCAGTGTCCACAACGACACATATATCAATGTGCATGGCGACACATGTGCCAGTGTGCATAACAACACATGTACAAGTGTGCATGACGACACATGTACCAGTCTGCATAACAACACATGTACCAATGTCAAGAACGACACATGTACCAGTCTGCATGACGACACATGTACCAGTGTCAACAACGACACATGTATCAGTGTCCACAACGACACATGTACCATTGTCCACAACGACACAAGTGTCAGTGTCCACAACGACACATGTACCAATGTGAATGACGACACATGTACCAGTGTCAACAACGACACATGTATCAGTGTCCACAACGACACATGTACCAATGTGCATGACGACACATGTACCAGTGTCTACAACGACAAATGTACCAATGTGCATGACAACAAATGTACCAATGTACATGACGACATATGTAAAAGTGTGCATAACAACACATGTGCCAGTGTGCGTGACGACACATGTATCAGTGTAAGTGACGACATAAGTAAAAGTGTGCATGACAACACATGTGCCAGTGTGCATGACGACATATGTACCAGTGTGCATGACGACACATGTCCCAGCGTTCATGACGACACATGTTTCAGTGTGCATGACGACACATGTACCAATGTGCATGACGACACATGTTTCAGTGTGCATGACGACACATGTACCAATGTGCATAACAACACATGTACCAGTGTGCATGACGACGCATGTACCAGTGTGCATGACGACACATGTACCAGTCTCCATGACGACACATGTATCAGTGTCCAAAACGACACATGCACCAGTGTACCTGACGACACATGACCCAGTGTGCATGACGACACATGGCTCAGTGTGCATGAAGACACATGTATCAGTGTGCATGACGACACATGTAGCAATGTGCTTAACAACACATGTACCAATGTGCATGACGACACATGTACCAGTATCCACAACGACCCATGCACCAGTGTCCACAACGACAAATGTACCTGTATGCATGTCGACACAAGTGTCATTGTGCATAACAACACATGTACCAGTGTGCATGACGACACATGTACCACTCTGCATAACAACACATGTACAAATGTCAAGAACGACACATGTACCAGTGTCCACAACGACACATTTACCAGTGTCCACAACGACACATATATCAATGTGCATGGCGACACATGTACCAGTGTGCATGACGACACATGTACCACTGTGCATGACGACACATGTACAAGTGTGCATGACGACACATGTACCAGTCTGCATAACAACACATATACCAATCTCAAGAACGACACATGTATCAATGTGCATGGCGATATATGTACTAGTGTGAACGACAACACATGTACCAATGTGCATGACGACACATGTACCAGTGTGCATGACGACACATGTACCAGTGTCAACAACGACACATGTGTCAATGTCCACAACGACACATGTGCCAGTGTCAACAACGACAAATGTACCAGTGTCCACAACGACACATATATCAATGTGCATGGCGACACATGTACCACTCTGCATAACAACACATGTACCAATGTCAAGAACAACACATGTACCAGTGTCCACAACGACACATGTATCAGTGTGCACAACGACACATGTACCAGTGTCCACCACGACACATATATCAATGTGCATGGCGACACATGTACCACTCTGCATAACAACACATGTACCAATGTCAAGAACGACACATCTAACAGTGTCCACAACGACACATGTACCAGTGTCCACAACGACACATGTGTCAGTGTCCACAACGGCACATTTACCAGTGTCCACAACGACACATGTGTCAGTGTCCACAAGAACACATGTGTCAGTGTCCACAACAACACATGTACCAGTGTCCACAACGACACATGTGTCAGTGTCCACAACGGCACATTTACCAGTGTCCACAACGACACATGTATCAGTGTCCACAACGACATATGTACCAATATGAATGACGACACATGTACAAGTGTCTACAACGACACATGTACCAATGTGCATGACGACACATGTACCAGTGTGCATGACGACACATGTACCAGTGTGCATAACAACACATGTAACAGTGTCCACAACGACACATGTACCAGTGTCCACAACGACACATGTACCAGTGTCCACAACGACACATATGTCAGTGTCCACAACGACACATGTACCAGTGTCAACAACGACACATGTATCAGTGTCCACAACGACATATGTACCAATGTGAATGACGACACATGTACAAGTGTCTACAACGACACATGTACCAATGTGCATGACGACACATGTACCAGTGTGCATGACGACACATGTACCATTGTGCATAACAACACATGTGCCAGTGTCCACAACGACATATGTACCAGTCTCCATGACGACACATGTTCGGGTGTGCGTGACGACACATGTATCAGTGTGCGTGACGACATATGTACCAGTGTGCATGACGACACATGTACCAGTGTCCACAACGACACATGTATCAGTGTCCACAACGACACATGTACCAGTCCGCCTGACGTAACATGTATCATTGTCCACAACGACACATGTACCAATGTGCATGACGACACATGTAGCAATGTGCATAACAACACATGTGCTAGTGTCCACAACGACACATGTACCAGTGTGCATAGCAACACATGTGTCAGTGTGCATAACAACACATGTACCAATGTACATGACGACACATGTATCAGTGTGCGTGACGACAAATGTACCAGTATGCATAACAACACATGTGCAAGTGTGCGTGACGACACATGTATCAGTGTGCGTGACGACACATGTATCAGTGTGCATGACAACACATGTATCAGTGTGCGTGACGACACATGTACCAGTCTGCATGACGACACATGTACCAGTGTGCATATCAACACATGTATCAGTGTGCATGACGACACCTGTATCAGTGTCAGTAACGATGTATGTTCCAGTGTGCATGACGACACATGTATCAGTGTGCATGACGACACATGTTCCAGTGTGCATAATATCACATGTACCAGTGTGCATGACGACATATGTACCAGTGTGCATAGCAACACATGTACCAGTGTGTTTAACAACACGTGTATCAGTGTGCTTAATAGCACATGTATCAATGTACATGACGAAACATGTACCAGTGTGTTTAACAACACGTGTATCAGTGTGGATAAGAACACCTGTATCAGTGTACATGACGACACATGTATCAGTATGCATGACGACACATGTATCAGTGTGCATGACGACACATGTACCAGTGTGCTTAACAATACATGCATCAGTGTGCATAACAACACATATACATGTACCAGTGTGCATAACAACACATGTACCAGTGTGCTTAACAACACATGCATCAGTGTATATAACGACACATGTACCAGTGTGCATGGCGACACTTGTACCATTGTGCTTAACAACACTTGCATCAGTGTGCATAACAACACATGTACCAGTGTGCATAACAACATAAGTACAAGTGTTCTTAATAACACATTTATCAGTGTGTATAACAACACATGTACCATTGTGCTTAAAAAACCATATGTATCAGTGTCCATAACAACATATGTACCAGTGTGCATGACGACACATGTATCAGTGTGCATGACGACACATGTACCAATGTGCATAACAACATATGTACCAGTGCGCATGACGACACACGTATCAGTGTGCATAGCAACACATGTATTAGTGAGCATAACAACACATGTATCAGTGTGCATAACAACACATGTATCAGTGTGCATAACAACACATGTATTAGTGTGCATAACAACACATGTATCAGTGTGCATAACAACACATGTATCAGTGTCAATAACAACACATGTATCAGTGTCCATAACAACACATGTATTAGTGTGCATAACAGCACATGTATCAGTGTCCATAACAACACATGTATTAGTGTCCATAACAACACATGTATCAGTGTCAATAACAACACATGTACCAATGTCCATAACAACACATGTGCCAGTGTGCATGATGACACATGTACCAATGCGCATAACAACATATGTACCAGTGCGCATGACGACACATGTCCCACTGTGCATGACGACACACATATCAGTTTGCGTGACGACATATGCATCAATGTGCATAACAACACATGCATCAGTGTGCATAACAACACATGTATTAGTGTGCATAACAACACATGTATCTGTGTGCATAACAGCACATGTATCAGTGTCCATAACAACACATGTATCAGCGTCCATAACAACACATGTATCAGTGTCCATAACAACACATGTACCAATGTCCATAACAACACATGTGCCACTGTGCATGATGACACATGTACCAATGTGCATAACAACATATGTACCAGTGCGCATGACGACACATGTCCCACTGTGCATGACGACACATGTATCAGTGTGCGTGACGACATATGCATCAATGTGCATAACGACATATGTACCAGTGCGCATGGTGCCACATGTCGTAGTGTGCATGACGACACATGTAACAGTGTGCATGTCGACACATGTCCGAGTGTGCATGACGACACATGTACCAGTGCGCATGACGACACATGTCCCACTGTGCATGACGACACATGTATCAGTGTGCGTGACGACATATGCATCAATGTGCATAACAACATATGTACCAGTTCTCATGACGACACATGTCCCAGTGTGCAAGACGACACATGTACCAGTGTGCATGTCGACACATGTATCAGTGTGCGTGACGATATATGCATCAATGTGCATAACGACATATATACCAATGTGCATAACAACACATGTATCAGTGTGCTTGACGACATATGCATCAATGTGCATAACGACAAATGTACCAATGTGCATTACAACATATGTACCAGTGTGCATGACGACACATGTACCAGTGTGCATTACAACATATGTACCAGTGTGCATAACAACACATGAACCTATGTGCATAACCACACATGCATCGCTGTGCATGACGACACATGTGTCAGTGTGCATGACGACACATGTACCAGTGTGCATTACAACATATGTACCAGTGTGCATAACAACACATGAACCTATGTGCATAACCACACATGTATCAGTGCGCATAACAACACATGTATCAGTGTGCATGACGACACATGTACCAGTGTGCTTAACAACACATGTATCAGTGTGCATGTCGACACATGTACCAGTGTGCTTAACAGCACATGCATAAGTGTGTATAACGACACATATATCAGTGTGCATGGCGACACATGTACCAGTGTGCTTAACAACACATGCATCAGTGTGCATAACAACACATGTACATGTAATAGTGTGCATAACAACATATGTACCAGTGTGCTTAACAACACATTTATCAGTGTGCTTAACAACACATGTATAAGTGTGCATGCCGGGACATGTACCAGTGTGTTTAACAACACATGCATCAGTGTGTATAACGACACATGTACCAGTGTGCATGGCGACACTTGTACCATTGTGCTTAACAACACATGCATCAGTGTGCATAACAACACATGTACCAGTGTGCATAACAACATATGTATTAGTGTGCCTGACGACACAGGTACCAGTGTGCTTAACAACACATATATTAGTGTGCCTGACGACACAGGTACCAGTGTGCTTAACAACACATTTATCAGTGTGCATGACGACACATGTACCAGTGTGCTTAACAACACATGTATCAGTGTGCATGACGACACATGGACCAATGTGCTTAACAACACATGTATCAGTGTGCATGTCGACACATGTACCAATGTGCTTAACAACACATTGATCAGTGTGTATAACAACACATGTACCATTGTGCTTCAAAAACATATGTATCAGTGTCCATAACAACATATGTACCAGTGTGCATGACGACACATGTACCAGTGTGCATGACGACACATGTTCCAGTGTGCAAAGCAACACATGTACCAGTGTGCTTAACAACACGTGTATCAGTGTGCTTAATAGCACATGTATCAGTGTACATGACGAAACATGTACCAGTGTGCTTAACAACACGTGTATCAGTGTGGATAACAACACCTGTATCAGTGTGCATGACGACACATGTATCAGTATGTATGACGACACATGTATCAGTGTGCATAACAACACATGTATTAGTGTGCGTGACGACACAGGTACCAGTGTAGATAACAACATATGTACCAGTGTGTATGACGTCATGTTCAACAGTGTGCAGTACGACATATATACCAGTGTGTATGACGTCATGTTCAACAGTGTGCAGTACGACATATGTACCAGTGTGTATGACGTCATGTTCAACAGTGTGCAGTACGACATATGTACCAGTGTGTATGACGTCATGTTCAACAGTGTGCAGAACAACATATGTACCAGTGTGTATGACGTCATGTTCAACAGTGTGCAGTACGACATATGTACCAGTGTGTATGACGTCATGTTCAACAGTGTGCAGAACGACATATGTACCAGTGTGTATGACGTCATGTTCAACAGTGTGCAGTACGACATATGTACCAGTGTGTATGACGTCATGTTCAACAGTGTGCAGTACGACATATGTACCAGTGTGTATGACGTCATGTTCAACAGTGTGCAGAACAACATATGTACCAGTGTGTATAATGTCATGTTCAACAGTGTGCAGTACGACATATGTACCAGTGTGTATGACGTCATGTTCAACAGTGTGCAGTACGACATATGTACCAGTGTGTATGACGTCATGTTCAACAGTGTGCAGTACGACATATGTACCAGTGTGTATGACGTCATGTTCAACAGTGTGCAGTGCGACATATGTGTTGCTTGCTTGTCTGTTTGTTTGTCGATTAACGCCGCCCTCAGCACCAGATATGTCGTGTGCAGTGCTATACACGTACCTGTGTGCAGTAAGTGATCTGTGCCAGTGTGCATGCGTCTATCTATTTACTGGTGATACAAACTGACGTACACTGTGTCACAACTGACGTACACCATCCGCAAGCAATGTATTGGTTTACACATCGCCATTGTGCTATAATCGCAGGAAGAGAAAATCGTTTTTTGTCAAGAAATTAATCTTTAAAAATGCAAGGCGAATGACGTAAATTGTATCTAAATGTTTCCTCACAATACTGTGAGGTGCGTACATCACGAGTAGGTTTAGGACAGTGACACAGTAAAGGTGGTGTTGCAATTACTTTTCGCTTGTGGCGCGATGACACACGACATGCCTGCTTATTGTGTTAGAGATAGTCACAGAATAACTTTCCGACGGGACCTGGCTGGTCGGGGGTCATTGCTGTTCCGCGGCGCATCTGATACACATTGCATCTAACATTGCATCTCAATCTACCGTCAGACGACTTTAGCTAATACTGCAGTTGCTAAATCTACCGTCAAACCACTATAACAACAACAACAACAACAACAACAACAACAACTACTACCACTACTTCATATATAATTAAGATCACCAACTACTACTACATCATTTACAATTAGGATCGACTACTACTACAATTACTACTACAACTACAACTACTGCAACTACTACTTTAGGATTAGAGGTTACATGTTAAAGTGGATATGGTCATTTTTATCTGAACGAACCATTCAAGTTCGCATAGGTCAAAAACTGTCGGGTATGCATGTGAAAATAGTACCCCACAAGGCAGTGTTATAAGTCCCATTCATACAATATCATGATCATTGACGTTTTGAGGACCTGCCTCTAACTATTAATCCTGCACAGTTTGCAGATCATTGATGGTCATGGGGACGGATTGTTAATTTTCAGTTTGTCTCTCCAAAACTGCGTAATTAAAATCAGTAATGGGTGTTTAAGACATCCCTATCAAAATCAGTGGCGATGATGATCACAAGACGAAAAATCCCTCAAGATATCAATCTAACTCTCAGACATCATAAATCGAAAATAGTGTCAGTTTTCAAATAACACATGTAAACAAGATAATCAATCTACTAGTATTAAAGTGTAGGTTATCTCTGTCACGTTGACCTGTCCTCGTGACTATTCAACCCGACCCCACGTTGTGTCAACTCCGTATTATCCATCACTATCTGTCGTTTTCCTTCCTCACCCCCACGGTAATCTTTCACTGTCCACCACCCGAGCGAATTGCGGCTGAGTGAGTGAGTGCGTGAGTGCGTGAGTGCGTGAGTTGGGTTTAACGCCGCTTTTAACAGTATTCCAGTTATATCACGGCGTGTCAGCTTAATGTGGGAGGAAAGCCCGAAGTGATGCAGGTCTCAGACATTTACCACTTCGGTGAAACCCACGAACACGGGTATGGTGCTGACAAACCTAGACACATAATCGGGGCGAACCGGGATTCGAACCCACAATCATAGGTTTCTGGCGTACCCAAGGGACGCAATTCTGCACAGCGAATCGCGGCGCCTTAGACGACTGGGCCACCCGTGCCCCCCGAATTGCGGCTGAACGAATTAAGGGTCTCTACCTGAATACATAATTACATATGTTTGCTTAGATCTCTAATCGAACCCGGGTCTTCGGCGTGACGAGTTAACGCTTAAACCACTAGGCTACCCGACCGCCCCTAAACCTGAGAATGAAAACACGACCCACGATCATAACACACAATCACAACTACAATCAGCTCTTATGACAAGTGCAACGTTAGATTCATTACAAAATATTGCTATACCCCTATTAAGAATCTTGCAACTCCATTGGTTCATCCGTACCACGTGACGAAACACTACTTCTCATTGTCGAACCCGCAGTCATGTGACTGACACTGACCTTGAATGTTGACCTGTCACGTGATGAATATTGACTCGTCTGCTACAAAACAAGTTGCCGTCTGGGACGAACAGTCGCTTTTCGCAGCTCAGTTACCATAATGAAACAGTGGACGGTTAAAAGACTTCATTAATTTTAATTGAATTTCGGTATGACAAAGCGAATAATTACTCTCGACGAGGTCAATATGCGAAAACAAGGACCCGAGGACCGGACCCCTACGGCGGTCTGACCGGACCGGCGGCCTCGATCCAGTTAGACCACCTCAGGGGTCAGGTTCTTTTTATCGCATACTGACCTCGTCAATAGTCCTTATTTGTATAATATCATATATAAACTCAAAATAATGAGCACACGCGTTCTATAAGGAAAACAAAGAATGTTGGATCATATCTGCCAGTATATGGTTACCCCATCGCCTATATTCTAATAGCCGATGTGTTTTGTAATTACTAAATGTAATCACGCCGAAGACCCGGGTTCGATTCCCGACATGGGCACAATGTGTGAAGCCCATTTCTGGTGTCCCCCGCCGTGATATTGCTGGAATATTGCTAAAAGCGGCGTAAAATCAAACTCACTCACTCTCTCACTAAATGTGAGACACACACGTTAATGCGCAGCCGTGATGCAGGTAGGACGTTGATATTCGGTTTCAGTGAAATACCCGGGTATCAGTTATCAGCAACGTGAGATCTGCGCATGTCAAGTGTCGCGGGTATCTTTGTTTTCATCCCACGACACTCGATGTGTCGCCGGGTATTATGATCACGAGTTCAAAGGTCATGTCCTATCTTTCTCGTCACTCATGGTTGGGCTCTTTCAAATCTTCAATGTCAGCTTTCGAAACCGGTTTCAACCACCTGTTTAGATAAGATAAATGTTAAAATGTCGGCATTCCATTGGAACATATTATTATCTATGACACAAAAATATAATGACAATAGAGTCGACATATTAAAATACTTGAGATAATACACATACACGTGTAAATGTGAGGGGGTGAACAGTGAAGAAAAGTTCATTCGGAAACCGGTTTGTAAAATGGGAATGAATTGAAATGACGCGTTGTGTTGATAAAGTGGTACATGTTTGCTATAATCTTCTGACCGCTTCTGCTGGTGGTCGAGACACTTGACCAGGAGTAGGAACACCGACCATTTGATATCAGGACCCGAGGGAGACCGCCAAGGACCTGCCACGTTGCTTTGTCCACTGAAATACGAACTAGTTTCAAAAGGTGAGTTCATCTCTTCTTTCTTGACGGATTGAGACATAAACATAGTGCGCGTTATTAATAGTGTTGTTTATGGTTTATGCCATTATTCCTTTTTCCACAAGTGACTATGTATGAATATACCGTAAGTCCTCGTCAACTTTTTTCTAATGTTTGTATGGTTCCCGGTGTTGTAGAGTAATACAGTATTCCGACACAATACTCTCAATAAACATTTGTCACATTTCAAACTAAAAAGGTTGCAGCACACAATCAGACTCACACATAGTATGTATCAACATAGAGCTGAGAATCAAATGCTGAGAATAAAAGTGACCAATAAGAGTTATTTTTATTATCTTTGTTATATAGCAATACATTTCTCGATTGAATATGTTTTAAGTAGTTTTAAAAAATATGTTTTTTTTCTCGGTTTGATTCCTTTGATTCCACATACATGAATATGCTTTTTTCCCAATAAAAGTATATGATTGATTAAAGTGTTAGAGTATATGATTGATTAAAGTATTAGAGTATATGATTCATTAAAGTATTAGAGTATATGATTAATTAAAGTATTAGAGTAGAACCAAACCAAATAAGATATTTTGTCAATTTATTCTTTTGTAAAAGATAATTATTTAGCAAATGTTCGAGATCATTCCAAAATTGTTTAGTTTCATTACATTCCCAAAAGACATGACTGATGTCCTCATTGACAGTATTACAAAAGCTAATCATCGTTAACTTCATACAACATTTAAAGAGATATCACCTATGTCGCAGCAGAACTCTTGTCAGTAACTATTTTCTAATATCGAGACTTAGCTTTTAGTTTAAAACTCGATATTTTTTCAGTTGTCCTTAGGACCTAAAATTAGTTAGTTTCATTGCATGTGGACTGCACACATTTCGCTGAATTTATGAAGTGAGTATGGTTTTACGCCGCTTCTAGCAATATCGAAGCAGGAAAAGAACCCGGGCCTTCGGTGAGACGAGCGAACACTTTAACCACTTAGCTACTCCACCGTCCCTGAATTATTAAACGTTCAGATGTTCAAACAAGATTGCATTATACATACGAATTGAGCTGTTTTGATTAAAGTTAGTCTTCCAAATTCGTCATGTTCGCCGCATTCCATTAGCTTTTTCCATCATATATTTGTAAATGACAGAATAATACTGAGGATCTCTTAGCATCTCTGCACTAAATCTTGAGTAATGAGTGATTCGAGACTTATATTTCTAACAAACAGGCGATGGCAACGGTTGACCGTATCAGCTACGAACATGATCACGGGAGCCCCCCAATTCCTGTGACATCGACGCAGGGACATGACAATATGCCTTCCAAGAAGCAAGTCACTTTCGGACAAGGTACCATCGTGTTGTTTGATGAGGTGGAGGAATACGTAACAGAACGGCTGCGGAAGACAAGCATTTCCGACAACGTTGACGACACCCCGCCCATCGCGCCAGAAGATACCTATCACTTGTGCAGTGAATACAACGAGAATGAACAACCTGGTTCGAGGGTGAGATTCTGTCAGATCGGAAGTCAACCAGGCGAGCTTCACAACGCAACAGACGTGGGAATTATGGGTAACGGCGATCTAGTCGTGACTGATATGATCTGTAATAAGCTCAAGCTGTTTACGTCTAATGGTGTGGTGGGGACTGTGTACGCAGCGGATGAAATATCTGAGCCATGGGGGGCGACTGATATTGGCACAGAGAAAATCGCTGTCACGTCCCGAAGAACTCAGAGTGTTGTCATAATGTGCAAAACATGGGGTAACGTTGTCAGAAGGTTTGGACACGGCTTCTTCAAATCTCCCTGTGGCATAACAACAGTTGGTGACAACGCCGTCATCGTAACCGATGATGTCGCGAACAGAGTGTCAGTTCATGACGTCACTGGTGGTAAGGTCGTTGCTTACATTGGACAGCAACTGCAATTCAAGAACCCTAGATACGTCGCCGTGTCTGCCAACGGGAACATTATCGTCAGCGACAGCGGCAACCATTCCATCAAAGTGTTCGACCGTAATCGAAATTTCGTCCGTAGCTTTGGAAAGTACGGGCGTGATGACGGATGTTTCAAATTCCCCCATGGTGTATGTACGGACAACCGTAACAACATACTCGTCGCAGATCAGTACAATAACCGCGTGTCTGTGTTCGACGAACTTGGACGATTTAGCTGTCATATCGTGACCTCGGTTCATGGAGTTTATCACCCCCATGGAGTGGCCTTGACCTCTGACCTTCGACTGTGCATAACGGTTGGCGATATGACGCCAAACCGGCTTTTGATCTACCAACTGGAGAGAATTGAGACAGGAACGGGCGAGAGTTGATGATTTGTGATATTCAATGTGGTCGAACTTCGTTATCTATAGGTGAGGTAAGGTGAAATGGGGTTTAACGTCGCGTCCAAGATTATTGCACTTACATAGCGACGTGCATTCTCGTGTGTGTGCTTGTACTTGCCCGGATTGATGCCGATTTACAGTGCTAGCACACTGAGATACCATGCCGCAGTTTAACATGAATACCCCACTCAGAAAACACTATACTGACTCCGAGCCGACCAGTCCTTGTTTTAGCCCCTTAATGCCGAGCGCCAGACAGGGTAACAACAAGAACCATCTTTTAACGTCCTTTGGTATGACGCGGCCGGGGAACGAACCCCGGATCTTTCGCTCTCCGGGCGGACTCTCTACCACTAGACCACGGAGGCGGTCTAAATTAATCAGTAGCCACATCGATGAAACATAATAGGAGGCAACGGAGGCGGTTTCCTTATCTATAACCTGATAGGACAGATGATCGATTTCGAAATATTCGGAAGTATTGCTAATAACCGTCCACAAACAATTTGTAAGAAGAGTTTAAAAAAGATCAACGCGTTATGATACAAAACGAGTGGTTGGAGTTTGTGAATATAAAGTTAACAATTACAGGTCGACTTTGAGATTGACATGTGTTGCACGACATCCTGGTGAACCCATATAAATATATGAAAGGAGGATATACCAATGGACAAGCCATTTCATTGTAATACGAATAAAGACATTGTGTGGTAACACTTGACTGCTTTGTTAGTTTTGCCAGTCATTGGTACAAATTGGCAACACTTCTTCTTAACTTACATTAGTTTTTATGGTTCGCGTTTCTTTTGGTGGTGAGTACTTATATCATTTTTTATATGTATTTATGACATATATAATAAATATATATAAAAATGAGGTAGATGTTCACTCGGTGTACATGTAATATATAATAAAAAAATATAGTCCACGTTAGTCCAACATCTTCTTTATATCAGTTTCAGACATATAAAGAAGATGTTGGACTTACGTGGACTATACTATTTTATATACATACCATGTCGCTCATGGGGTTGACGGTGCGACCCGTTAAAAAGTTCACGAAATAAAACATACGTATTTGGAGGTAAATGAATGAGTTTTGATTAATGATGCTTACAACAGTTTACCAGTTACAGCATGCCGTGTCAGCTTAATGTTGTAGGACAGCCCGTAGTGATGATTTTGGTGAAACCCACGCACACGACGATGGTGCTTGCATACCTAGAAACATAATCAGGGCGAATCGGGATTCGAACCCATAACCAGACGTTTCTTGCGTGCCCAAAGGACGCAAGTCTGCATGGCGAAGACACTGGCACAGTGACATCGAGAACAGCTGACACTAAAGATTATTATGTGAGTGTTTTTGGTCCAGGCAACTTAAAACAGTATTTTAGTTACATCACGGCGTGTCAGATTGCCGTGGGAGGAGATAATGCCGGATGAGGGGAAGGGATACCGAACCCCCTGTATATCCGCAACGGTGTTGAAAGCACGCTTAGTGCACTTTGTGAAATTTAACACAAGAGGCCATAAAGTCATTACGTACGTAATGAAAGGTGAAATTAATACTAGAATACATTCCTCCAACCGATAATACCAAATCCGATGCTATCACCCCCCAACCCCCACCCCCCACCCACACGCACACACGCTACTACACCGTAGAAGTTCAGACACTCTCCCACACAACACCCTTTCCACACACATACACAAAATACATATAAAGTACATTCATATATACATGAAATACATAGTTGAAATTTCAGATGTAAACCTGTTGCTAACAAATTGATAATTTTAATAATTTTATGAGGTAATTTCTGCGTTGATACAAAGCAAATAAAGTGTGAAGTATTTGCCTGTACCAAACACACCCACTTCACAGTATAATGAGTTGAGTATTTCTTTCCAGATGAAGGGGGCACGGGTGGCCCAGTCGTCTGAGAAGCCGCGACTCGCTGTGCAGAGTTGCGTCCCTTGGGCACACCAGAAAGCTATGATTGTGTGTTCGAATCCCGGTTCGCCCCGATTATGTTTCTAGGTTTGTCAGCACCATGCCCGTGCTCGTGGGTTTCAACGAAATGGTAAATGTCTGAGACCTGCATCACTTCGGGCTTTCCTCCCACATTAAGCTGACACGCCGTGATATAATTGGAATACTGTTAAAAGCGGCGTTAAACCCAACTCACGCACTCACTCACTCAGCCGCAATTCGCTCGGGTGGTGGACAGTGAAAGATTACCGTGGGGGTGAGGAAGGAAAACGACAGATAGTGATGGATAATACGGAGTTGACACAACGTGGGGTCGGGTTAAATAGTCACGAGGACAGGTCAACGTGACAGAGATAACCTACACTTTAATACTAGTAGATTGGTTTGTCAGCACCATACCCGTGCTCGTGAGTTTCACCGAAGTGGTAAACGTCTGAGACCTGCATCACTTCGGGCTTTCCTCCCACATGAAGCTGACACGCCGTGATATAACTGGAATACTGTTAAAAGCGGCGTTAAACCCAACTCACTTACTCACTCACTCTTTTCAGATGAGATATATGAAGTTAAACGGTAAACACTGATGTCTGAATAGTCAGATATCTAGTATCGTCATACAAAGGACAGTCTATTGAGAAGTGAGTTTCATCTTCCAGGGTATTAGCAAAGTCGAGCATCTTGAGGCGTAACCGTGTGTACGTGCATAAAACAAACACGTGATATATTTTGAACCGGATAACTTGTCACAGTACATAATTTATAACATATTATCGGGTATGTGGATAGCCGGTAATAAGTGTTCGGTCAGCAACAGTGTGTTTGTATCCCGATAATGTACTCTACTATCTATCTATGTACATTCGACCAGGTAGGAATGCTCCAGTAACTGGCCTGTGAACGTGATTCACTCATGGTACGTGGCTGACTTGTGGGAAATTAATCTGCTGGACGAGGTGCCACGGGGCCGAAATGCGTTCAGCTTGGGTCAAAACCACCAGAAAGCAGGTCGGCCTGGTGAAACTCCAGGCATGTAGCTAGTTAACATCGGATTATATAAAGAAAGTTAATAAAGGGTTAGTGTTGGGTGCCCATTTCAATATTTTTAGACTTTTCGATATTGCCTGTCGAGAATACTTAAAAGTGAAATATAAATAATACGTAAATAATAAATATAATTGCTTTAATAAATAGCACATCATGTACATGCGGTCAGGTAGCCTAGTGATTAAAGCGTTCGCTTGTCACGCCGAAGGCCCGGTTCGATTCCCGGCTGGGATATAATGTGTGAAGCCCATTTCTGGTGTCTCCCACCGTGATATTGCTCGAAAATTGCTGAAAGCGGCGTAAAATCAAACTCACTCACTCACTACTGTTCAAAATCAACCAGGATGAAGACAACAGGATTTTTCGTCCACAAATACCATCATTGAAATCCTGCCAGTCTGGAGTCTCTCATTCAACTGCTTGAATCAAGTCCAGTTTAATTATATTCCCCAACTGGAAGGTCCGGGGCGAAAGCTGCAATCCACTGACAGAAGCAGCATCCTGAAGTGAACGAAACGTTCTCTCGAACGTAGTTTCCTTCTTGTCGGAAAGGAGGAATAAACGAGAAGGCACATCACACCGTCTACAAATGTGTGTATGGTGTACAGTTGATAGAACAGCCCATGCTTGCTGTTAGAGGCGACTATGCTGGTCATGAGAGGCGACTAACGGTATCGGGTGGTCAGGCTCGATGACTCGCGGACAATCGCGGACTTGATTGATGCATGTCATCGTATTCCAATTGTGTAGATCGATGCTCATGATGTCAATCACTGGATTGTCTGGTCCAGACTCGATTATTTCCAGACCGCCGTCATATAGCTGGAATAAAGCTGAGTGCTTACGCTTCTTGCGACAAGCATAGTCACCTTTTACGGCAAGCATGGGTTGCTGAAGACCTATCTTCCCTATCGTCTCCAGGTATCTAATAGAGAGGGAAACTTACTACAGGTGTTCTACACAAGCTTTTCACTTCTTTGTTTCTCCCCTGTCCCCCTGAGAAGTCTGTGACTAAATGCATCATAGTATACGTATCACATATTTGAAAGACTCTAGTTTTGGTTGCTGTGTGTGAGCTGGGTTAATATGTGTCATTGTATGGTCAGTTGCTCATGCTGTAAATATAAAACGTAAACGACAGAGAATAACTAGTCTTGATAATCAATAAGCCGAAACAGTTTCAATTTGGCATAAAGGGCAAAATAGCTGTGAACATTATAGTGGATGCTATATAATTACTTTTAGTGGATGGGCCACTAAAAGTCAGTTAAGACACCAGGAGTCCGCGAACCACGTGTGTCTAGTCAATAATAATGACACCAGGTGTCCGCGAACCACGTGTGTCTAGTCAATAGTTAATGACACCAGGTGTCCGCGAACCACGTGTATCTAGTCAATAATAATGACACCAGGTGTCCGTGAACCACGCGTGTCTAGTCAATAGTTAATGACACCAGGTGTCCATGAACTTCGTGTGTCTAGTCAATAGTTAATGTCACCAGGTGTCCGCGAACCACGTGTGTCTAGTCAATAGTTAATGACACCAGGTGTCCGCGAACCACGTGTGTCTAGTCAATAGTTAATGACACCAGGTGTCCGCGAACTACGTGTGTCTAGTCAATAATAATGACACCAGATGTCCGTGAACCGCGTGCGTCTAGTCAATAGTTAATGACACCAGGTGTCCATGAACCAAGTGTGTCTAGTCAATAGTTAATGACACCAGGTGTCCGTGAACCACGTGTGCCTAGTCAATAGTTAATGACACCAGGTGTCCGCGATGACACCTCACAGAGTACGCGTATACTTTAGATATTCCTTAAATTAGGATATGTTTTATTAGTTCACTAACATTATCAAGGCAACAATAAATTACAAACATCAATACTGAGGTATTATGGACCACTAAAAGTCAGTTTTTATTTACTTTGGCACCAGACAATATTTGTCCCCACTTCCTCGCGAAAAGGAAAATATTTATACATGAACTGTGAATTATAAATCATAATATCTTGTAAAATATTAATCAACAGTGCAGACAAATAGGTTGACAGTTGTACTTCCAAGGTCATATTCCCGAGGCAAAGGAGGTAACTGACTGTAAAAGTTTCC